TGGTTCTTTGTCCTCTTTTTCCGACCCATGCACGCGCGTGTCCAACAAAATTGTTTTGTTTCCCAAAAAAAATTCTCTTGAAAATTTCCTCCCCATCTCCAGCCTTAATTTCATCAGTTGATTCTCTTTGACGGGTCAACCAGCCAAGGAAAAATGATTCTTGGCTGATTAGTGCAGTCTGTACCCTCCCCAGCTGGTTACAGACTCACTTACCGGTCAAAGAGGATCTTCCAGAATCCATCTTGGCCGGTAGGTGAGTTGGCACCAACAAGCCAAGAAGTGCCTCTCCTTGGCTGTTTGGTACATGCTGTACCAACCAGCCAGGGAGTAGAGCACTGTTCCGGTTGGCTGTACCAACCAGCCAAGATCAAGAAATCTCCTGCTTGGCTGGTCAGTAGCCGAGAAACTCCCAGACCTATAAGCCTACTCCCAAAGAATAAAAAGGGGGAAAAATGTGCTGGAGGGCCCAGTCGGCCATAGAATGAGGAAATAATTGGCTTCCAACTCCAACAACCATCTACAGACGGTCTTTGGGTGTTGTCAGCTAGGAAAAGTGAGTTGTCTGTTAAGCCAATAAACTGTTTCCCTATGATATTTCAAAACCCCGGGGTTCCGGGGTTTTGCATAGCGCCATCCCCAGTCCTGAACCCCAGGGTTTGGATTTGGGCAAAATCCTGAACCCTGTGGGTTGGGGTCATGCCTTAGAACAGTGGCTATCTTCCTAGTCTTTACTGGTGTTTATCCCATTGTCAGCTCCTGGTGAGGCCTGTTGGCTAGTTTTGCCTTTGTCTCTGTCGCCATGGGCTAGATTGATCACAGAACAAGTGGCATGGTATGCAACAAAGCCCCCCACACCCGTCACAACTGCGATGCCAGCTACCCCAAGACTGATGGCACCGGTACTTTGACCAACCACAATGGCACTTTGGGCTGGAACCGAGCCCTTGGAGATTGCCATAAACACAGAAGAAGGTGTTCTGGCAACAATGCCTGCCACTGCAAGTGAAGCTATAGTCTGGGATGGAGAGGCTGCTGCTCCCAAAAGACCTCTGATTTCAGCTATAATGACATCACATGAACTGCAAAAGAAGAAAATTCAGGCAAGTTGACTCTACTGGCACCATTTGGTAAGTGGTGTTCTGCGCTGTGCTTACCTTTATAACTCTTCATTGTGACCTTGCATTGGATGTTGCCGTGCTTGTGGAACTCCACACATAGATCATTCATTCTTGGTGCTATTGAGCCACTTCTCCCCGGTGTACATCCCCATAAGAGTAGTGTTTCTTATTTTGACTTCTTCACGCACCCGGCGCTTGAGGACTGAAACGGTCTCAGTCTCCAATCTAACAGTGACATTAAAGCTGAAGATATGACATCCGGTCAAAATCAGTGGGTAAGCAATACATGGGACGGTGGAATCCATGTTGCTATTGTTTTTATTGTCTTGAGAATGGGTTGCCTACGCGTTGTGGAACTACTCAACCAGGGAGATAGAGCTTGGAGGGGATATAGACAACTACACTAGTACTAATGTAAGTTGAGGCTACAGGTGCTGATGAGGCTGCCCTCCTGTGCAATGCTAATGGGAAGAGTGTAACACTAAGAAAAAGAAGAATAGAGGTGTGGCTGATTTCTACTTTATCTTAGACTTCTATTACTGATGAGCTTGTGTATGTAGTACCTACCGAGGTGAGAGGAGGAGGAGTAATGAGGTATGATGGGATAATACTGGCAAGGGTGTAATACTGGCAAAGAGGAATGGCACTGGCACATGGGATAATCTGGCAAATGAGGATTTATAACTGGCAAGGGGGGATGTATAACTGGCAAATATAACTGGCAATGATATCTGGTAAAGATATAAGGGTGATACTAGTATTTCTGATTTCTAAGACTATGGTTAGAAGATAATTCAGGCAGGGTACATAGCATAAGGGGGAAAATACATGAGAGGGAAGAAAGAGTATATATGTGTACAACATGTACATACAACAGCAAAGCACTATGGCAGGGGAAATCCTGGCTATGGGTAATGTAAGTCTTAAACAGTAATGAGTGATGAGAAATAATGTAGCTAAGATACAGATGTTCTGTGTATACAAGTGTTAATCAGGTATGGAAAGTCAAAGCAGTGTGAAAGGAAATATGTACATGATGTAATGTAGTTAAGGTTATCCTGATTGATGTATGTAGTTATGGTTATGCTGAATATGTAGTGTAGTATGTAGTAATGGTGATGTACCATGATGAATGAGTGATCCTACATAGAGACTGTAACTATATAATGTGTAATGTATATGTACTGTATGTATAAAGTAATGTACTGTTCTGTAACTATGAATATACTGAAGAGATGATAACTAGGGAACTACAAGAGCTACTGAAAAACTGTAAGAGGTGACTAGGGGTGAAATAATGTGTAGAATCTGAATATGGAATAATAATGGGAATAATATATGTAAATGATGACGAAAAATGAGGATACATGGAAAGGTATGGACATACCACAGCGTTTTTGGTGTAATTGCTCCTAGTTTTGGTTCTTGAAATCTTAAAGTTGAATCAGAGACGTAAAGGAAAGAGTGTAGTATAGTCTGGAGGTAAGAAAAACATTTAAGGCAAAGTGAACAGATAATAAAAGAACTGTCAAGCTTACCTGAGATGGAAGCAGTCAATGACAAAATAAAACTATGTCTTCTTGAATTCTCAAAGGTGAATGTGAAGCGTGAGCAGAGAGAGACCATCATTCCAGAGGTAGTTTTTATGACATACATACCACATAAGGAATCCCTTCCGGTAAATTGTTAGCCACCCTCTCCAACTGCCCTTGCTTTAAGGAGCAGATACCCGCTTGGATACCCGTTAAGGCTGGGGGATACCCGCCAGCGGATGCGGATGGCGGTTTCCCTGGAAAAAGCAGCCAGATATCCGGATGCGCCGGGGCAATCTCTAGATGTAAATAGACCATATGATGTGGTTGTTGCCTTTTAATACCATACAAGTTCAACTGCCAGTGAAAGGATATCCATCAGCATTGATGATATCTTATTGAAAACTATTAAATATGTGGAGGGGTATGCAGCTTGAGTGGATTTTGTAGTGACTCAGAGAAATAAAATTTGGTGTGGAAAAGCATGTCAATTAGCAGAATAATGATATAATAGATAGCCTCAAAATGATCAGTGTGATATGTGAAAGATAATCTGAAACAGTATTGGATTTTTTCAAGTTCAAGGCCTTTGACAGTGATGGGCAGTTACGTTATCCAGTTATCCATAAATTTCATGTTTAAATGAGTATTTAGAGGTCTATATCTTAGACTTTCAGTATTTAAATGCATCTAGCACTTGAATTTACCCTGATTTAGAAAAAATACTATTCATAATGTGGAAAGCTCAACCCTGGGAAAAATTATGCCTCAAAACAAAACCAAAATTAGTTATCCAGCTCATTAGTTACGGATAACTAGATTTTGGTGCTATAACAAAGGATTACAGATATGTCAGTTGAACAAGGTCAAATTGGAATGCAAACATGATAACATGCACTTTCAAATATTGCACAAGAACTATCTCAACTTTTTTGCACATCTGTAGCATGTGATACAACCATTTATAGAAAAAATTTGATCTGGATAACTGCCCATCGCTGCCTTTGAAGATGTTTTGCACAGCTGTTCCCAGAAAGCTTGCGTTTGCAATCTCCTGGTGACCGTTTTTTTTTTTTTTTAAGCCTCACGAACTGTACAGGTTGGAAATATGTTATCAAGGTCTTGCTTGGGTCCTGGCAACCTGGCAGTTGCGGGGTGGGGACCAGGCATGGACCAATGTGAGGATGGCTTCCTACTCAAAAAAGTGAGAGGATTCTGATGGTCCAACCCCTGACTTCTCAACTCAAAAAATGTGGGAGTTGGACTTCAATGTCTGGAAGACTGTTTCTGTACACGGTCTGATACAGGACAAAAAGGTGCAAAAAAAGAAAAAAAGATTGGGATCCCAGGAGCTCGTGACTGCAAGCTTTATGGGAACTACTGTGGGTAAAAGTATTAACATTGTGAAAGGAAATTCCAATTCCAATGTAGGCCGATGCATTCATAGTAAGCTTCATTGAGATCTTCCAGTCATTGTGTGGAGATCCAAATCTTAAAGTGTTTTGAATTGCCGCCTCAGTTCCTTTGAACTTCTTCTCGCATTCTTTAGCAACAATACCTCGAAATTGATCAAGAGTAGTGGATACCACAGGTAAAAAAAAAATTAGGAACAGGTGTTTGGATTTGATCATGTTGCACAAGCGTCCTGAGGTTTTGAGGCATCCATCAGGGAAAACAGCTTGTTGTAGCTGGTGTGGCAAGAGACCATTCGAGACTGAATAACAAAAAAAAACTTCCAGTTCATGGAGCCCGAAATATTAAAAACAACCTGGCTGACTGTTAAGTTTACCCGCTGTTCACCAACCCCCTGAATCTGCCAGTGTTTGCAAGCAATATAGTAATCTGGCAGCAGGTTTTCTCTTCCAAGGAGGTCAAGACCAAAGCAAGACGTTTTAGCAACTAAGGTGGCTATAAAAAAGAACAAGTAAAGCTTGTTGCTTCCTGGTGTTTTTGGTGGTTTTTTTGCTTGTAGGATGAACTGAAGCCTACAGGCCAGAAATAAAAATGAAGGACAGTGTGGGGCTGGAACTTTCACCAAAGTGGAGATTAGGATTGTGACAACGGTGGGCCAGTTACGCTAACCGTAGTTTTAGTGCAGCGTAGTGTTAGCTTTTTAAGCTACGCTACACAAAAGTTACTGTTAGCAAAAAATTTGGTCCACTAACACTACAGGATTTTTGAAAAAA